GCAGTCATACGTGAAACATTAACACTGCTTCCACCACCTGAGTCTCCCCAGTCATCGACTTCAGCAGGAGGACAGGGAGATGGAGAGGAGACTTGTGGGAGCTCTAGGACAATAAGATAAGTGAGACACAAAAGGTCCACAACGTCACTGCAGATGCAACGGTTGAAGTACAACACCACTTACAGACACCTTACACTGACAGAGCAAGCGATCCACAGGAGTTTTGGGCCAAACATCAAACTTTATTCCCTCATCTCTTCCAACTTGCCAAAAAATATGTCAATACCCGCAACATCTGTGCCATGTGAACATGTTTTTTTCCAAAGCAAGAGAAGTTATATGCCAAAAAGAAACCGTTTAAATGCTAAAACACTGGAACAACTGGAAGTTTTCTAACAAAATCTCATAATGATATTTATGTCTCGTTTTATTCTTGTCAGTTTTATTTTTTTCAAACTTAACTTCCCTTTCACACACAGGCTTATGAAACAACATAAAAGTAAAAAGTAGGCTACATTCTTACAAACCACACCTGATCTTAAAATATCATAGTCCTGATTGTCCTGAGGCATAACTATCACTTTGCGAGTATTTTATAGAAAGCTTTAATGATAAACACATCAATAATGAAAAAGGTAGAGTGATAGTAATTGAATTTAAATGGTCTGATTTAGCAAAGACCCTAACTAAAACAGAATACAAGCATTAATAATTAATGGCATTTAATGACTTGTAAATTATATTGAAAACCTTACAATGTTGTGAAAATAATTGCAATTGTTTTGTAAAAAGTCGTCAATATGTTTGGGCCCAGATCTCATTGCTTTTGCAGTGTATTGTCCAGCAGGGTTCACCAGCATGTGGAGTTTCAAACACTTCAAAACAGTGAATCATTTTGCGAAGCAATTGGTTCAATTTAGTGCTGCACAATTAATCATATCGCAATCGTAATCGCGATGTCAAGCCTATGCGATTATATGATGCAAAATACTGCGATTTATATGAAATAAACCAATTAGGGCTGTTAACGCAGCATCTGTAATTCTTTGTCATCCTTTGGCTAGTGTTACATGATCCCGCTCTAATTCATGTGAATGCTTTAAAGTTTAAACCATTCAGCGAGACAAGTCAAGAGAGAGCGCGCTGCCTGTGTGTGTCCTGACTGAAAGACGCGCCCCAGTATCATGCGCGTGCACAGACCGCGCGCCAGAATACAGTTCTCTTTCCGCTCGAAGTGAACGAACAATAACACACACAATTATGCCAAAATATCATTTGTCGAGTGTCTTCATAACTTAAGAGCAGTCTTATGATGGTCGTAAAGAGTTGTGAGAGAATAAGGCGCGTGTGAGATCCGCGTCTCTGTCAGCAACTCTTACAGGGCCAGCATCCAATAATGCTTTCTGTCAGTAAAGTTAATCAAAGAACAAAGGGAACAGAGAAGAAACACTCACTGCTCTTGACCAAAGAACTTGTGTAGCTTTAAATAGGATTTTAGTCCATATAATTAATAATTTATGCAGCGCAGACTGTTTGATAACTTTATCCAATTTCTGTATATGTCCTACCTGTAGACAGGAAGAGCACAGGTAAATATGACATTTATTATGGGTTTATGTGAGGATTGTTTAAGTTCACTTAAATTAAAATTAAATAATCTTTTATCCAGACATCAATAGCTTATTGATCAGGTGTTATCAATCATTTAGTTGTTGTTGCTAGTTTGAGTTGAGAAATACACATTTCAGAATGATCACTAATCTGTGTGTGCATTCTGCTTTAGAACCAAGCACGTTGACTCATGAAACCGTTTGTTTATTATATCGCAATCGCATATCGCAATATTGACCTCAATAATCGCAATATGACATTTTCCCCAAATCGTGCAGCCCTAGTTCAATTGATTTGAAGCCTTGAAAAGCTTTGTTTCACCAACAAAAAAAACAAAACCTAACAGCTTAACAAACATGAGCAAAGACAACAACCAACTAAAAGCTGACTAAAACACCTGGCTATTTAAAGATAATGAAGCTCACAAGATAACAAGGGAAACAAAACACCTCCTGGAGATACAATCAAGGGAACCAATGACACAAAAGGACTACAAACTATCACAGGAATCAGGAAACTGGAAATACAACAAAAACGTCCAAACAAATGGAGAACATGTAACAGCTCTTGCTGAGCATCATCATTCTGTCATTACATAAACTCATATGTCAGTAATGCTGTTATAGTGATGCATGTCGTCAAGTCCTCAGAGGCTTTTCCCTTGGACTCACAAGAAATGTGTTTGATTTTGATGTTAATGTCAGGTCTATAGTTTGACGGCTGGTGATCAGAACACTGTATAAACAGTGCCATGAGGGCAGGTTTGATCAGGGGAGCAGCGGTGCGTAAGCATATCTTCACAATTATCAAGCCATACTGTATGGTGTCAGCAAACCCAGGTGGACAACATGCCAGCTGATTATTTTTTTGCAGTTTACACAATGTTGGAATGTTTCTAGAGACTGGTCCTCATTCTAACTTATTCTGGCCAAGAACTGCCCAGCATATACAGTAATAGACTAAGTAACATGTAAATGTTATTTTTGTACTGATTAGCTTTATCTGTTAACCCTTAAAGACTGATACAGCCGCCCACGGCTAAAATAAACTATTATTCTTACATGTTTAATAACTTTTGAACCTGTAATCCAATTTGTATGCTTTAAAGGGATAGTTCGGCCAAAAATGATATTTAAACCATGCATTACTCACCCTCAAGCCGTTCGAGATGCATATGTCAATCTTGTTTCAGACGAACACATTTTCAGTTATTTTAGAAAATGTCTTAGACCCTTCAGTGGATATAATGTGAAGCAATGGGGTCCACCTCCTTCCAAGTCCCAAAATGTGCATATATCCTTCACAAAAGTAATCCATCCGGCTCCAGGGGGATAAACGAAGGCCTTCTGAGGGTAATCCGTGCGGTTTTGTCGTAAATATATACATATTTAAAACTTTATAAATGAAAATATCTGACTTCCGGCAAACGATCGACGCGCGTCCACGGGTGATGGAAGTCGGCGTACGAGGTAGGACGTAGCGTCGTGACGTAGAACGAACGCGCCCGCGCAGCCAGAGAGCAGAGCAAAACATCACCCGTGAACGCGCATCGATCGTTGCCGGAAGTCAGATATTTTCATTTATAAAGTTTTAAATATGTATATTTTTACGACAAAACCGCACGGATTACCCTCAGAAGGCCTTCGTTTATCCCCCTGGAGCCGGATGGATTACTTCTGTGAAGGATGTATGCACATTTTGGGACTTGAAGGAGGTGGACCCCATTGCTTCACATTATATCCACTGAAGGGTCTAAGACATTTTCTAAAATAACTGAAAATGTGTTCGTCTGAAACAAGATTGACATATGCATCTCGAACGGCTTGAGGGTGAGTAATGTATAGTTTAAATATCATTTTTGGCCGAACTATCCCTTTAAGAAGTCTCATAAAGGGGAGATTCACGGCTGAATCTGGTATCGAGTTTTTCGCGTTTGGACATTCATAGGCTCCGTAGTGAATCTGATTACGTCATCAAGTTTTGGTCAGCATTGATTCGTCAAAGAAACCCATGCGGTTTGTTTGTGGAACGATTGTTGATGCTTAGTCCCACCCCCGTCCCCAGATTGGTGGAAACTATCATCTACTCAACCAATAAACATAGGTTTTGGTTTTTTGCACCACCAATTAGCATCTTTCTTTGGAAATTTGAACTGAGGCAAAGTAGAAGTAGTCCTGTGAGTGCAGTGCATGCGTGAAAGCAAACACAAAATAACAGATTTGCATGAGAGCACTCTCTGACAAAGCATATCACAATTCAAAGAAATATATAAAACAGTGATACACATCGGATGAGGCACTGAAATTTGTGTTTTCAAACGATTTGCTACACAATGTCCCAGTGGAATTGCGTCCGACGGAGATAACTGGCTGGCGCTTTATATATGTAAATACTACTTATAGTTTGTGAAAATCATTTGCACTGTTTGTATTTTTGTTGCACAAGAAAATTCACAAGACAAAAAAAAAAAGTCACTTTTGCTTCAGTGTTCTATTATTATATAACAATGTTTTCAATTTACTTTACTTCCTGAACTTTTCTGGACACATCTACATTGTCAGCAAATAAAAAACACCAGCTTTTCACTGAAAATCACCTATAATAATGTTGTAATAAATGGCAATAACTTGCTTAGGGATTGTTACATGTAGACAAAATTTTCATCTGCAAATCTAGAATATCCAAGTAGCCTATAACTTTCTAAAGGAAAAAATCCAAACTTCAGGAGGTTTTGATTGAGTTGAGTTTTTTTACTCATACTATAAATATTTGCTGCCGTCTTTCTTAAATCTGGTAAATTCATCCATTCTAATACAAAATAAATGTAAAATTGGGAATTTAAATGAGCTGAAACTTCAAGTCCTCCTGTTTAAAATGATATATTACACTTGATGCTGACTGCTAAAATGGGTTAGAAAAACAAAGAAAAGAACAGGCGAGTCAGGTTCCCCAAAAATGTTCTAGGTCTTTAAGGGTTGAGTATTTTCATAAAAGTGCACTAAGTAATATTTTACTCATGCTGCTGGTATAGTCGCCTTGACATACTGCCATCTATTGTTAAGGATGCAGCATCACACAAAGCAAATGTTTCCAGATGCCTCCATACACATGCCCTGTTCAGTGTGTGATCATTTATTCCACAATGGAAAATTGGGGTGTTACAGAGATAAAGTGAGTTTGCCTGGTCATGTGATCTCAACATGACATACATGATATTGATGAATAGCCCTTGTGTTTTAGAAAACAGCTTTTTTTAGACCAGTGATATGACTGAAGTCGCCATCTCATAATCATTTTTTTAATATGGAGAAAAAAACTTTGGTTGCATACCTTAAATTACAGAAACTTTTAATAATGTTGCTCCCAAAGTAGTGAGTTCGGTATTTTACCTGCAGAGATGTGAGGTCAAGGAACGTGTTGTCCTCAACACTCTTGATAATGTTACTATGCAGCATTAATAGTTCCAGGTTTTTTAGTCCAGAGAGGTCGTTCGCTTTAAGAGTTGATAAACTGTTGTACCTGAAACACAAAATTACAAATGTCGAAATCGGCCTTAAATAAGCTGTTTTTGAGAGTTTCATGCTAGTTTGACTGTGGTATGTTTTACCCCAGGTTGATCCGTTCCACAGCTGGCTGAATGTCCCTGGGTATTTGACTCAGGTATCTGAATGTGCAGTGCACTTCTGATGGAGCGTAACAGGCGCAGGACTCGGGACAGCAGCTGCTTCTGTGTGTTATATGGGCCGAAACACACAGCAGCACCAGGAATCTCCACAGCAAACATGACTCTGGTGCTGTTGGGCCACGCATTCTGGAGAAGAGCTCTGTTTCGTGCCTATTTATGACCAGCTCAAGCTGCCAGTAATCATCACCTTTCTGTAAGAAGAACATAATGAATCATTTCTACATTACTATTCACCGCCGTTAACAAAGTTCTACATGCAAAATACCTTTTAGATACTTCAAGCATACCTTTTTATAATTATGATAGTATAGTGTGCAAGAAACATTAAAAAAGTATGTTTATTAAACATTAAAAAGGTAATATTAATATCAAATTATTATATTTCATGTTAATCAATTCAATTCACAATACCTCATTTCAAAGCAGTGCATGTTTCTGTTATCAGAGGTGACTGTCACAGTAATGGCAGAAATGTACATTTAAAAAGACAATACAGTTCAGCCGAAACAACGTTTAAGCAATATGTGATCATAAAGATTACAATATGTTTTGAATGTTGATATTGTAAATACAATGGGATATGTTCTTACGAATATTATTATAAGCCTTATATTAATTGTGCTATATTTCATGACCACATCCAAACTTATAGTAAAACAGAAATTGTATCCTTTAAATTGTACGGATCTTGAAATTCCGTGTCATAGTCAACATCTCGATTTAACTGCGGAGATGCCGACGGATTAGCAAAACAATCATTAATACCACAGAAAGAGTATAAAGCACACTTACCTAATACGCAGTCTATTTGGATAAATATTCACATGAAACACAGTCCACATGGCATGCTGAAATTAATAATCCATCAGTCGTATCCTTCACTTTGTCCCCTCAGGTTTAGAACATCGAGTGTGATCAGCTTTCGTCTAGAAACGCGTGTAAACTGAGAGAAACTGAGCGACTGAAGCCTCCTCCTCTCCTCTGTAGTGCGAGAGGTTCACACGGAGTCAAAGGAAAACATCATCATAAACTGCCATATCACAGCAATGATTTGTGTACAGATGCATGACTTCATGTCTTCACTCTTAGAAAAGTCCGTAAAATACGGCCCAATATACCGTGTTAATACTGAACACCGTATTGATTTTTTTTTTTATACAGGTGTTTTAGCTACAACGGGGCTAAATAAGGCACACCTTAAGATTTTTTTAAAATAATGTTTTAAATACTTTTTCAAAACAATCACTTTAGCGAATTTTGCACTCATTTCTGTTTATTTTGATAAATAAAAGAATTCATTTTTGTTCAATAAATATATGATTCATTTGTATTACTGTTGTATTACCAAAATTACAATGATTGGTTCAAAACCTAATGGCTATGTTTTTCCCTAATCATTTTCCCCTTTTTGTAGGCCCATCAGAGGGACATTTACCAATTTCGCATACATATGCTAAGAATTAATTTCTGCCAAAGTACCTGCGGCAGGTGTTGAATATTCTTATTTATTACATTTTTTGTTTGTTTTCTAATTATAGGTCAAAGAATGGAATCTCCTGATTCAAGGCGGATAATAAAAGGCAAGTAATTAAGGAATTTACTAAATGTATATTTTTAAAGCATCTTAAAGTTAATACAATCTTATATTTTGTAAATGGATCCTGTTGAAAAACCCAGCATATGCTGGTTAGGTATGTTTTGAATCATGGCAGTTGGTTTTAGCTGGTTTAGGCTGGTGAATTGCTGGTCCTAAGCAACTAGCTCCAGCTCAGGACCAACTCAAACCAGCTCAGGACCTACTAAGGGCCAGCATAAACCAGCTCAAACCAGCTCAGGACCTACTAAGGGCCAGCATAAACCAGCTCAAACCAGCTCATGACCTACTTTTTTATCAAGCTGCAACAGTAAAAAATAGAAGACCAGTCCTCAGGCCCCCTTCCCAGAATGTTTTAGATGTCTCACTAATTAAAACGAATCGGTTACCTAACGTAACCTCGGTTCTCTCTAGAAGAGGGAACGAGTATTGCGTAAGCTAGCTTACGCTGCGGGAAAGATTCATCTTTGCTGAGATATTGAAGCCAAAAAATTATTTCATAATTTTGTATCCATACACAACGCAGTTCCTCTGCGGCAGACCTAGAGCGGGCTAGCTAGCAGCTCATTGGTTCGCTCAGAGAGAACTGCTTAAGCCTATGGGAGAGCGGGGCTGAACCCGCTTCCAATGAGAGGCGCCCGCGCGCTCATTGCGTCATGACCCGCCAGAATGGGCGTGGCCATGGTGTATATAAGGCGCTCTCCCAGGCTTATATGTTGATTTATTTCAGCGTGAAGCGAAACGCTAGTAGCGCAAGCACGGCCGGGAACGCAATACTCGTTCCCTCTTCTAGAGAGAACCGAGGTTACGTTAGGTAACCGATTCGTTCTCTTACGAGAGGTTCTCTCGTATTGCGTAAGCTAGCTTACGCTGCGGGAACACCTGGCCAACGCCGTGCGCGCTACGAATCCACTCATGAAAAACCCAGGGATATACCGGGGGAATTTCTTAACGTGGAGTGAATGTACAAAGAGGCCGCAGAGCGGGCTCATGAAGTGTACACATAAGCATGTATGGGGCCAGCAGAGCGGGCACATGAAGTGTATAAGCATTACAGGAGAGCACAAGGGGCGAACCGGTTGTGAGGGACCTCCAGAAATGCAGCTTCTTAGAGAGCTGTTCGTCAGACAGCTAGTAATTTTGCCTGCAAGGCGGGAACTTCCAAGTTATAAAACCTGACAAAAGTGGACGGGGAGGCCCATCCCGCGGCCACACAAATGTCATGAATGGAAATTCCACAGGACCATGCCCACGATGAGGCCATGCCTCTAGTGGAGTGCGCCCTGATGCCCAGAGGGCAGGGCAGGCATTTAGATGCGTAAGCAGAGGCGATAGCGTCCACTATCCATCTAGACAGTGTCTGTTTTGAGGCGGCCAGACCCTTGGTGCGCCCCCCAAACGACACGAAAAGCTGCTCAGCGCGTCTGAACGCGGCAGCGCGCGTAGTGTACAATCTCAGAGCCCGCACCGGACAAAGGAGATTGGCATCGCGCTCACTATCGGATGAAGGCAGAGCCGATAGGGAGATAATCTGAGCCCTGAACGGGGTACCAATCGCCTTCGGGACATAGCCATGCCTAGGTTTGAGAATGACAATCGAATCATTCGGTCCAAACTCAAGACACGCGGCGCTGGATGAGAGCGCGTGAAGATCCCCAACGCGTTTAACTGAGGACAGAGCCGTCAGGAAAACGGTTTTGAGCGAGAGGTATTTCAGATCCACAGACTCGAGCGGTTCGAACGGGGGTGCTTTCATAGCTTCAAGGACTATAGAAAGATCCCAAACCGGAACCGACGGGGGCCGCGGAGGGTTCATCCTCTTAGCTCCCCTGAGGAAGCGGATGACTAACTCGTCTTTGCCCAATGACTGAGCGCGTCGGGGTTCCGCGAACGCCGCGACGGCTGCCACATAAACCTTGAGAGTGGAGGGGGACCTGCCCTTGTCCAGCATCTCTTGAAGGAAAACAAGCAAAGACGGCACCTCGCACGACCGTGGGTCCAGCTGTTTGTCGGTGCACCATTTTGAGAACACAGACCATTTAGACGCATAGAGCCTTCTCGTGGAAGGTGCTCTAGCCTGTATGACAGTGTTTCTTACTCCCTCTGGCAAATCAACGAATAGTCGTTGATCACCCATGCATGCAGCGCCCAGCGCTGTGGATGGGGGTGCCAGATCGTGCCGCGAGCTTGAGAGAGGAGATCTGCTCTGACTGGGATGGGCCACGGGGCTGTCTGTGACAGCTGCGTGAGCTCCGGAACCCAATTCTGACTCTCCCAACGCGGGGCTATGAGGAGCACCGAGTGGCGTGTGTCCCTGATCCTCTGAATTACCTGTGGTAACAGAGCGATCGGAGGGAATGCATAGAGCGGGCGGCGAGGCCATTCCTGGGCTAGCGCGTCCTCGCTCTTCGAGAAATATATTGGGCAGTGAGCGTTCTCTTCTGACGCGAAGAGGTCTACTTCTGCTCTGCCGAATAGTCGCCACAGTAACTGGACCGTCTGTGAGTTCAGGGACCATTCTCCTGTGGAGATGAGGTTCCTGGACAGTATGTCTGGACCGTCGTTCAGATGGCCCGGCACGTGCGTCGCTCTGAGCGAGAGCAGGCGGCTCTGAGACCAAACTAGAATGCGGTGCGTCAGTCGACAGAGATTTCTGGATCTGACACCGCCCTGACGGTTGAGATAGGAGACCACGGCCATATTGTCCGAACGGATCAGGACGTGGTGTCCCTGGATGCGCGGGAGAAAGTGCGAGAGCGCGTTCTCGACCGCCAGCCTTTCCAGACAGTTTATATGTAATGGGCTTTCCTGAATCGACCAGTGGCCGAAGGCCGGTGAGCCCTCGCAGACTGCACCCCAACCCGTGTTGGATGCATCTGTCGAGATGACTTTTCGGCAGGAAAAGGTCCCCATCGTGACGCCTAGACGAAACCATTCTGCTACTGTCCATGGCTGCAGCGCCGTGAGACACGTTTGCGTAACCCTGATCAGCTGGCGACCCGTGTTCCACGCGCGGTGGGGTACACGGCTGTTCAACCAGAACTGAAGCGGGCGCATGTGCAGAAGGCCCAGCTGAAGTACAGCGGAGGCTGAGGCCATGTAACCCAGCATCCTCTGAAAAGTTTTCAGAGGCCTGCGGGTGCCCATCTGGAACGAGGCGGCTAGACGCTGAACACTGCGCGCGCGCTGTGTAGACAGGCGAGCCGTCATCGTGACCGAGTCCAAATCTATTCCTAGGAAGGAAATCGATTGACTGGGATGAAGGGAGCTCTTTGTCCAGCTGACAGAGAGGCCCAGCGTTTCCAAATGGTCGAGGAGAACTGCGCGGTGCGACAGAAGCTCCGTCTGTGATTGGGCCAAAATCAGCCAGTCGTCCAGATAATTCAGAATGCGCAGCCCCTGGCTTCGCAGGGGGGCGAGCGCCGTATCCATGCACTTCGTGAATGTACGGGGCGCCAGAGATAAGCCGAACGGGAGAACGGCGTATTGATAAACAAGACCCTCGAAGGCGAAACGTAAGAATGGCCTGTGACGGGGATTTATCTGGATCTGAAAATAGGCGTCTTTCAGGT